CCCGAGATTTGGTAATGTATGCAGAAAAGAAAAGAAGTTTAATTGGCTCACGGTTCTTCTGGCTATATAAGCATTGCTCCTGCACCTGCCTGGCTTCTGGTGAGGGCTTCAGGAAGCTGACAACTATGGCAGAAGTTGGATGGCGAGTGGACAGGTCCCGGAGCAAGAGAGTAGAGTGGGGGAGGTGCCACAGACTTTTAAACAACCAGATCTCATGTGAACTAACTGAGCAAAAACTCCCTTATCACCAAGGGGATGGGGCAAATCAATCACTCATGAGGGATCCGCCCCCATGATCCGATTCTTCTCAGCAGGCTCCACCTCCAACACTGGGAATCCCGTTTCAGCATGAGATTTGGGGGGACGCACATCCAAACCATATGAGCTTGTGAGATAAATACAATAATTATGCCCATTTTATAGACGGGAAATTAATTCATTGAAAATTAAGTAGCTTGCACCACATAGACATCCAGTGAATGATAGAGACAACAGTAAGATACAAAAATTATACACATGCATCATGTATCTTAGAAATAACTTTATGTACATACAAATGCATGCGATATTTAACTTAAAATATACAATATATGTGTTTTAGATCTGCTGACATGTTTGTAAAAGGTAGTATATAGTCATGAACTTTGAGGACACTGAGATTGTAGCCACTTATAACTAACACGTTAGCCAGCCACAGTTCATGGATGCCAGCCGAAGACAGGAGACTCCTGGCCCAGACGCAAGTGACATTGTCAGTCGCAGCAGCTGCGGCAGAGCCAGAGTGTAGGCACCTGTGCAGGTTCCCCAGGACTCACCATGGTAGAGAGGATAGCAACCCTCCCAAAACGCATGCTTTCCTTGCAGACATTTATCTAAAATCTATCTGAGCAAGACATTTGGTTAACAGGAAGAATGAGAATTCTCTGGAGATCTGAAGGCCAAGGGTGGTCCTTTTGAGGAAATCTACTCCTACCTCCTAGAACAACTCCTGCCTCCTAGAACAACACCTGCACCCACTCAAGGGCTCACTGTCTCATCCCTTCTTTTGCCTGGCACCCATGGGACAACACAATCTAGACCCAAAAGGGGTATATCAGGAAAGCAGCGGTCTGGGAAACTGATCCCAGCTCCTGAGCGTGATCTGGAGGGGTCTGGGAAACTGATCCCAGCTCCTGAGTGTGACCTGGAGGGTATCGCCCAGCAGGTCCCCTGGATGGGTCCCCAGGTCACGCTGCCCATACCAGCCCTTCCTGTCCCTGCAGCTGCCGTGAAGCTCAGAGGGCTCTCCCTCGCTGGCTGGTCACTTTCCTATCATGTCCACGTTCTGCAGAGCCCAGCCTGCAGGCAGCTCATTCAGAAGAGCCTGGAGAGGTGCTTCAACCCCCTCAGCAAGCCACAGTCTGCTCTGTTCATCTGCTGCTATTTCCCAGGGGCCGCAGCCATGGCTCATTCCGGACACAGACGCAATCTGCAGCCCAGGTCAGGGCTGCATGTTACTTTAAGACCTCAGCTTCAGAACATAAGCAAAGTATTACTAGGTGACACTTGCAGGCTCTTAACTGCAGCAAAATATCTGAAAATCAAACTCAAATTAGGGGAACTTTGACTCTAGCTGGTTTTGCATTCTTAAGGTGAAGAGCCCACACAGAGCCATGCATCATATGTGTGTTCCCACGAATTCTGCGGATCGCTCTTGGTTCAGGGACACCTTCCAGTAGCTTCATTTGATTAAATAATAACACTCCTTTAGCTGTTCTGTCTGGCACCCCAGGAATGCCCAGAGCGTTCCACTGTGAACAGTAAACAGACTAAAATGGTATCACTAATCTAGGTGCAGATATTCCAGGCTGAATATACCCTGGACCTCACAGTGAACTGTGAATACTGAAAATGGTCCCTGAATGCTAAAAAGGAATGAGTTTACTGCTCAAGGAACGTGAACCTGGACAGACCCTGGGGTGAGTAACTGAGACTGATGGGAACATTTGGTTTCTCGGCCTCTCGTCTACCGGACCCAGAGCCTCATGCAGACACTTCTTCCATCTATGCCGAAATTATAAAATTACGAAGTGCAGAAAGGAAGGGAGTTACTCCCACTCTCATGGCAGGTGGAGGGGGCAGATCTGCAGTGCCTGCTCTCTGCCATGGTGGGAGAAAAGCACACTCCCCTGTCCAAGGGGCGCCTGCCAGGTCGAGGGCACACTCACCCCCACCCCCACACACTCATGGGGCACACTCACCCCTGCCCCCACACTACCAGCCACACCTGGCCAGGTGGCCCAGACAAAATGGATGGGCAGATCCTGCCCCTGCCTCCCTCCCTCACAGGCTCTGGCTGCTGCAGGTGAACCTGGTTGCTGATGCAGCCTGGGCCACAGGCCCGGGAACCCGCCGCTGCCTCCCTGGAGGTTGTATCTTCCTCCAGAATACACTGCACGTTCTCCAGATTCTCCAGTCAAACAGGGGTGCTCTTCCCCAGAGTCTGGGCGGGCACGCTCACCGCACAGCATAAAGATCTGGGTCCCCAGGCACAGGGCCCCCTCCTCAGACGCAGCAACTCCATCTGGGTCCCCAGGCACAGGGCCCCCTTCCCCAGACGCAGCAACTCCATCCGGGTCCCCAGGCACAGGGCCCCCTTCCCCAGACGCAGCAACTCCATCCGCACAGCATAAAGATCCGGGTCCCCAGGCACAGGGCCCCCTCCTCAGATGCAGCAACTCCATCCGGGTCCCCAGGCACAGGGCCCCCTTCCCCAGAGCCCGGGTGGGCACGCTCACCGCACAGCGTAAAGATCCGGGTCCCCAGGCACAGGACCCCCTCCTCAGACGCAGCCCCTCCTGTGTGCAGCCTGCCCTGGTCTCCTTTCCATTGCTCTGTGGGAGCTGGTCTCAGGGAACAAGTGCAAACACTAAAACTCTGACTCCATCTACCTCGGGAGCAAAGTCCTTTGTCCCTGGCCCCGTGCTATCCAGGTAAGCGAAGTGATGAGTGAGGGGGTAGGGGGTCTCAGAGGCTCCCTTTTTGTAAACACTTTCATGGGCAGGCTCTGTGCTTTCCTATCACTTTCCAAAAGCCTGGGGCCATACCACTGCCCATGAGTGAGTGGAAGAAATGACTTAGGCACACTCTAGCTTCTGATATTATTATTTGGAGAAGTTATTTTTTTTTCCTTTTTGGCTCTAAAGTAACTAGATGTGTTTTGAAGGATAAAAGTATTTTATTATTATTAAAACTTTTACTCAAAGTCAGTTCTCTAACCAACCAACCATTGTATTTCCTGATGATCCATAATAAATTAATCCCTAAATAAGGTGTCCCCTTCAGGTATCTGTCTTTACAGAAGGAGCACGGACTTCTGAGAATATGAAACGATCTAACTCATCTCTGTATCCCGGCATCCAGAACAATGACTGTTCCACAGTAGAAACAGTATTTCTTAAGGAAAGAAACATAGTTGGAATAGGTGTAGAGTGTATTTTTTGAGCGATATCAAAAGGCAAATTTTTCCAATAGTGTCCCCAGCTGACATCTCTCCTGGGCTTCCCTCACTCTAATGCATCCTTAGGATCAAGGCATTGATTTCAAAAGGGTCCTGTTAACATGTAATTTGTAAACCAAAAGTAAAATTCTAATGTCCTCGCCTAACCACCTGAGTGGACCCTGCCTCTCGGCCAAGAGCATTCCAAAGTTACCCCGAAAAGCTGGTTCAGGCCGTGATGGAAGGTGGTGAGTCAGACATGCCTCCTTCTACCCCTCCAGCATCAACATCAACACAGACCTTAAGTCTGATAAGAAACATTCACGATCTCTTCTCTATGAAGCTCATGAAACCCTGGTGTCCACAACCCCTTCACATCACCCAGACATTCCTTCCTACTGATGATAATTCTTTCAACTGATTTTTGCCAATCAGAAAACTGTTACATCTACTTATGACCCGGAGACTCCCCACCATGCAAATCTGACACGTTTTGACGGACGTCTTCTGTCTCTCTAAGATGTGTAAAGGCAAGCTGTGCCCCAGCCATCTTGGGCAGGTGTCCTCAGGACCTCCTGACACTGCGTTACAGGCACATCCTTAGCCTTGTTAAAATAAACGTTCTACACGGATTGAGATCTGCCTTAGATACTTGGGTTCACAAATTGTTACTGAGAGGGCAGCACACACTTCTTACTACGCACTTGGTATCCACTCCCACTGCCATGTCTTCCCAGGAATTCTTGTCCATTTTAGACTTACTAAAGTGTGCATGAGTTTGTGAGAAATAGTAGTTCTCTTTCTTTTCCCTTTGATTCAATTTTTAGAAAATAAATAATAATTTGTTTTCAGCCACTATGAACAATAAGGTATTTTTCTGGCTGGAATAATAGAAATTTGGAATAAATTAACTGCTGTCTTTTGATATTTTGTATCTTGAGAACTTATATAATTATTAGTCAACTTCCTACAAAATAATAAGCTTGGGAGGACAAACTGCTTTACAGGTTTGTTTTACTTTTCTTTTTCTAGACAGGTAATATGAGACCACAATATTCTTAATAGTGGTGTCTGTTATATAATTACAAATGCTAATTATTTCAAAAATGGAGGAGAGCCCCATTTAATTCTTTATCCTATGCCCCAGGTTATGTTACAGTTACATCACACCACCAAACATCTGGGATCTAGGTCTCCCTTTTCCTCTTTAATCTGTCCTAGTCCTTGAGGAGAGAGTCTGGTTTCACTATCAGGACATCAGCCTCTACTGTCTTTTAACCAGGATATATGTAATTGCTGACTGGATCATGGTGCTTTTCCTCTGTGTCTTGCTAAAGAAAGAATTGGATATTAAATACCATTTCTATCCTCTGCTTGCACATGACACTGGGGAAGCAAATTAACAATGGGAAGCTTTAGGTTTTCATTTGCAATTGTGAATATTAGGCCACACGTGTGCAGATGTCGGGAAGGATGTGCCTGTAGGTGGCATTCGGGGCGGTGGCCCCTCCCCAGGGCTCACCTCTGCATCGTGGCGTACATGGCAGTGTCCACCAGCCGCTTGCTTTCCTCCAAGACGCCGGCGACACGAGACTCCTCAGGCTTTCCTACAGAAGAGAACACCACAGTCAGAGCACAGTGACGGTTCGGGGATTCACTGACAGGAACACCACACAGTCAGAGCACAGTGACGGTTCGGGGATTCACTGACAGGGACACCACACAGTCAGAGCACAGTGACGGTTTGGGGATTCACTGATGGTGTTGCTTTGTCGCTCAAGCCCATCTGGCTGTGGTGATGCCCATGTGGTTTCCAGGGCAGGCAGGCGACCAGGTCTGTGGGAGGCTTGTCCTCCACGGGCCTTCACTTCCTTGCTACGGAGGAGCGTCCATCCCCCTGCATGGAGCTGCCTGGAGAATGGGATGAGAGAGCTGCTCACCTAATTTCTCACTTGTCCAAACCACTTCAGATGATTCTGAATAACTTTCGTTCTGAACATTTATCACTGGTTACCTGAGCTAGTGGTAAAGTTGATAATAATTTGCCTATCTTAATTTGTGTACTTAATAAAAGATAAAATAATTCCAATATACCAGCAGTTTCCAATGAAAACACTCCTATGTTATTTGTTTTAGCACCTGGAATGTTTAAGAGGTTAAAATCCCATTTCTGGGTAACAACGTGAAGTTCCAGACGGGTAACAGGAAGATGGCAAGTGCTTCCAGCCATGTTCACACGTCAGTCCTGTCACTAAATTCACCTGTGTAGCATCAATACTCCACCAAAGGAATGCGTTGGTTCCTAAAAGCAAATAGAAGTCCCTGAAGGGGACACCAGGCTCTCCCCACGGCCCAACGTGGCACCTGCAAGAGGTTGGCCCAGGAGAGGCGCCTGCACGAGGTCAGTCCAGGACAGGCGACTGCAGCACCTCTCAAGGCTTCAGCCCCAAGTGCCTTCCATGCTCATCCCTACCCTAGGAGCACACAAATTCCCCACCATCCCTTCTTCCTGCTCACTCTGCCCTGCTCCGTCTGTTCCGTTGTCTACCCAGTTTCTTACAGTGTGTGATACAACAAAGTTAAGAAAACCTCCATGATGGATCTCTCTTGGGTTCTGGGATGAGTAACCAGTGGTTAAGCACTTGGGGCAGAGGGTGACCTCTCAGGGTTGGGCAGAGAGCAACGAACAGAGCCCCCCGGTGTGGGGCTCCCTGGAGCCAGGGCGGGAGGGAGGGGGGGCACCCAGCATGGGCTCACAGCTCCACCAGGGCCCCGCAGTACAGCCGTCAGAGCTGCGGGCTCTGGGTGTGGAGTCTGAACAGGGGACCCGGTTTCGTGCCAGCATGTGCATGCTTGGGAAAGTGCGATGGGGAACGGATGCCAGTGGGAGTGAGTAGGAGCCGAAAAAGGAGGGGCGGCCTGGGCATCGCAGGACCGGTGGCAGGTGTGGACCTCAAGGACCAGCATTCTGGGCTTTATGGAGATTTCTTTCAGCTCTCAAGAGCAAGGGAACCTCCTATTCCCACAAAAGCTTGAGATATAAGACACTTGGAATTTTCGTTTATTTTCCTCGTATTTCCTTCTAAACCCACTGCAACTGCCTGGGCAACTCAACTCACATTTAGTATTCTGAGGTCAGTCATGGCCGCTTACTTGCCAAACACAGTAACCACCCCCCAGGACTCTGGTGCTTTTGGGATGTTGCCGGCATTCTTAGGTGGCAGAGGGGTGACGGCCATGGGCTCTGGAGTGAGACAAATCAATCTCCGAGTGACGCAGCAGACCACCTCACCTGGCGCGGCTTTCTCTCCTAGCGGCAGAGTTACATGGCAGGATCGTTCTAGAGAGAAGTTTGCACAGCTCTTGGCTGAGGGCCTGGCAAGTGCGCAGAGTTACGTCTTAGGATGGTTTTAGAGAGAAGTTTGCACGGCTCTTGGCTGAGGGCCTGGCAAGCCTCAGTGCTCCCAGCCGTCGTGCCTTCTGCTTTCAGTTTCTGGCCGCTCCCTCTCCCAGCCTCGGTCACCGTGGCTCTCTTCCCTCCATGGTCTCCCTCCCGTGAATGTCACCACGGGTGCATTTCTGGCTCCTCTGATCTTTGCCCTCTCCTCTCACCCTCCTTTTGTCCCCACCCAAATGCCCGTTTTCACTTGAACTTCTCTCCCGAGTCACGCCATCCTCCTCTGCTCCCCACTGGGGCGAATTAACAGCCTGAAATAACCACCCTGCCAGCTCAGGTCCCCAGGCCAGAAACCCAGCCACGGCTTTCCTTGCCTTTCATTCGCCGTGTTGTGCTGATTTCCCCATAATATCTCTGGTAGAACGTTCTGCTCCTGCCTGGCCCTTGCCAGTCTCCCTTTCTACTGCCTTAGTAGAAGGAGCTCTCGACTGTCTCCGGCACTGATCTCTCCCCTATCCTTCTGTCCCTCCTGCTGTCACACAAGTGACCTTTCTAAAACAAGGCCTGCTTGTGCCTGTGCCTTTGATGAAAGCATCTGAAGGCTCCTGATGCCCACGGAATTGCGTGCAGGTCCTCCTCAGAATCCAGGACTTCCACAACCCGCCCAAAACCCATCTCCATGTTGCAGAGCTGTGGATGTAAAACTCAATTTATCCTTCATCTCATGAAATTGTCAATCTCAAGCTCCCAGCTCTTCCTTTATGAAATTTTGATCCTGCTGATCTTTAGGTACCAGAAAAACAAATTAGCTCTGTCACTCACACCACCTGTGTTTATGCACCTGTCACTGAGGGTTTCTTCAGGGCTCTGCAAAGTTCTGCGCTATTCACGGCCAAGACCAAAGGCTGGTTTTCAGCAGGCAACTTGACAAGTATTTAAGAACCAACTGATGAAATACAAAGAAACATGCTTATCTTTCCCTACTGTGCTTGGAAATGGCAGTTTCTAGAGAGATCATTCCTTGTTATTGACAAATATTAATATATTGTTATTTAAGTTTAACTGATCACATGTTGCTTAGTCTCTAGTTTCTTTTCTTATTGTGAAATATTTCACAAAATTAAAACATATTTATAGGCTTGCAGATTATTAGTGTCTTTTAAGTTTCATAAAATAAATCCATTTTTGTATTGAAAACTCCCATCAGAGACACATAATTCTCATCAGATAGTCCTAAGTGTCTGCTGGAACCGGTGGTGTTTTCACTGTTTAGGTTAACTACTTCTTGGCTGAATAGAGGTGACTGACATCCATCCGTAGGGGAGGAAGAAACCTTTTCTCTCCCTGCATCTTAGGTTAATTTTCTGGGGCATTGTAAATTATACTGACAAAAGGCAGAG